ATTTGTTCACGAATAAATGCGAGGGTTCGCGTTCTACACTGGTGGGGCATCGGAACAGGTTACGAACTCCGTGTACGAGTTCATCGTCAGAGCTGTAAGCAACAAAAATAGGCGAACATTATAAACCAATAAACTATCACTGACGCATGGGTGAAGGTGACTGCGCAGGGCTCTGTATGCCGGCTCTAAATCGATGCATCGTTTGTCTGAGTACCCACCCCTGGACTAGGCTTCAATCAATTCTCAGCTCGTCTTGTTCCCGGTGGAGGTGACTGTCATAACGGCTGTGAAGTTGATCTTGGAGCCTGTTCCGTAGGTTTAAGCAGCAGCTTGCGATAATTCGTGGCCACGCCGCACAGTTAGGCTATGTTCATGTATGCGCGATCCGCGATCCAAATATACGTTCAATGGTTGACTCGTATAATTACAAGGACAGCCATGGCATAGAATGCAATACACTATCCTATAATGCTTGTTGGGATTAAGTCAGTCGTTGGCTTTCATCCTCCTGCTGCGTATGATAAATTTGGATAATTGGCACACCTAGCCCCTAGTCTGGCGTATAGCAGAGCGTGTCATATCCTCGCTGGTTTTTTCTATTTGGGCCCTGCGAGGCTGAACGCATAGGCATTGGCTTATAAACGCCATCGGATAAAGCCAGCGTGCGTCAGATTTGAGGTTTCAAGAGTTGGCACAAATATAAGAGTTTTTATTGCAGACGTCATAGGATAGGCTAAAACTGCAAACATTCGCACTTCTCGACCGCTGAGCTATTTCATGGCATCTTTTGATTGGACGAATTAATCGGTAAGGTGATAGTCTATTATACAAAATATCCAACATAAAATATGTTAATATAGAATAGTAAGCAACATATTTTATGTAAACTGTTTTCAGTAGGGCCCTCGAAGGCATTGCCTACTGCCCTAAATATACTGAACTCTATGGATCACAACGGGAACCCAGGTTTTTTATACTAGAGTAATGGTAATGGAGTTTGTATGGGCGGGGCAATACAGGGGCGCAGGAGATATAATGAAATATATCAAACGGAAACCGGCAATAGTCGATAAAATTATTACAAAATCTAATAGATATATAGCGACGACAAAACATTTTCGTGTGTCGTAGGTATCCGACCAGATCAATGGCTTAGATGCATTTAGGTGGTTTGACAGATTTGCTTAATTCAGTTGACCCAATTTTGAGAAATCTGCCAAACCTCCTAAATAATTAGTTTAACCTAGTAGTCATTCTGGTGGATTCCAGATGGTTGCTTAGGAAATCGTGCTTAGGCAGCCAGCTTGCTGTTCCGTATTGGTGCATTCCATACGAGCGATAAAGTTGGGCTGATAAAATCGATCCAAGTGTGATTAAACTCACAGTGCAGGTGTGGCATTTGTAGCTCAACTGGTAGATCATTGGCTTCGCATTAAGGCCTTCCCTACTATGCGAGTTCAAATCCCGCGGAATACCGCGAGTTTTTTCACAATTGGGTCAATTAAAATAACTTCAAAGTTTCATAAATAAACTTTTACTGATCTTAGAATATTTACGCAATGGTTATTGAATTCCGACAAGCAAGTCTACCCTATAGTCTTGACCAATACTTATTATTATGTAACATACTTAGTCGAAAAATAACGCGCAGTCCATCGATGCTTTTACCTCTCCTTTATAAGAAAAAGTAAATCAGAACTTTTATCCCCCAAAATAAACAGTTTAAACTATCCTTGCTGAAGAAGTCATAAAGTCACGGCGTACGCGTTCGTCAATAGAAACCGTCTGGATGTGCTGTGGAGACTGAAGCGCACACAAGGTTGCTTCCCGTAACGATAAGATAATAAACAAGACAAGACCTACTTAAACAAATATAGTAGGAAATGATGTGTATTAAATACAGTGGGATTACAGACCATATCCTCGTCGGGTCAAAATGTGTAGTCAGTACTGTATCAGTGTTGGTGACCACGTCCCTGGCGTTGTTCGCCTTGCAGTGACTCCAAAACGTATCCGAGACAGTTGGGATAGGTTTCTCAGAAAAAAAAAACACGAGAAGTAAGATGAAGCGTTTGACTGCCAGAGCCACGTGTCACCTTTGCGGACAACAAAGGCGCAACTGGCAGCCAGTCACAAGATCTACTCGATCAACCCCCTTCCCCTCCCCCTGAATTCACTCCTTGAAGCTTTCAACACATCACCATTTTGAACTACTTTCTACACAACCATGTAACGATTCCGTGTTTGTTTTTCTTCTGCTTTCCCTTTTTTCATATTCCTCCTATTTCTCCCCATGCGGACGCAGTTTTTCGACTATAGCCTACAGCCCTACGTGACGCTGGCCTGCTCGGTGCGAGCTGTTTGGCTGCAGGGTCATGACGTCTCGGTGTCCTTCGACTACGACGATCCCCATCACACGGCCGCTGTCTCCCTGCCACGGTCGGACGAGACGTCCTTCTCATCGAAGGATGAATCAATCCTCCCGGGACGTGTCTTCTGGCGTTCTTCAGCCTCCTTCTACGAAGCAGCCCTTCGGTTGGCAGATTTGCTGC